ATGAGCACTCTAAGTATCACTGTGCAGTTACTGTGTTTGAAATGTCGCATCCCTTAGTGTACGGTTTTGGCAGCTGTTGACATCACAGGGAACCTCCCTTTCCCATCACGTCCTCATCCATTGCTACTCTCCTGGATTATGATATTCTAATGCTCCATCGTCACATACTGGGAAAGTCCTTCCAAGTCATCTTTTAGACTTGGTTCTTCTTTACTAATGACCACAGTACTGAGGACAGTGCTCTGCACAGAGAATGAAATGAAAATAATAAGAATATCACTGGTGAACAAAGGATAAATGTGATTTACTTGTGAAATGATTTTGACAGGTAAAATAAAATTCATACCTGCATGATATACACAATTATCTGTGTCAGTAAACTTCAAAATCCTCTCCTCTCCAATTTATTGAAGGTATTTCCAGTGGGTAACTTTGTGATGCTTGGGCTTAAAAACACATTTAAGAATTGCGGGGGAACTGAGTTTATGTGGATGGGTCCCACTGAGTTGTGGAGGTACAAAAGAAAATCACCATGCTGACAGGATGGTTATGGAATTGGATTCCTGCCCAGGAAATTATTGCCTTTAGACCAACTGTGGCTATGGTAGTGAAAAAACTCGCAGCCCTGGAGAAGTAACCAATGTTACAGCTTTGAAGTTAAATTGTTCTGGAAGTTGAGGCCATCTTTCACAGGCAGTCTTTACCTACACCCCAAGATACTGATTGTGTGGAGGAAAACAAAGATTGTCACACAGGTCTGCCATGTAATCCTAACATTTTAATGATCCTCATGAAAAGATTCTATAATACTATTCGTTAACTATTTATCATTAGTCTAGGAACTTAAAATATATATGTGCCAGATTGAGCTCTGTATACGTAGTAAAGAAAACACCGTGTATTAAGGAGTACTGCAGACTTTTTCTAAAGCCCCTCTGTGCTGGTGTACTACGTCACTAGAAGTCCACTCACCAACTCTGGAGATGGCTCATGAAGTCAAGGGGTGACCGAGTATTCCAGGATGACCAGAGACACACAGCAAAGCAATGGGAATCCTGGTGGAGTGTGAGCCTCAGGTAGGAAGTCCTCCACTCTACCTACCTCCGGCATGGACTCAGTAGGTATATAGTGTACTGTACAACAATTCACACACACCACACACATAGGCAAATGTCAGATTTATCCAGCAAATTTCTGGTGTCAGATAAGAGAAACAGATCAAAAGCCAAAAGGAAAAACATGTCAGAGATGGATCCAACATTTTCAGAAATACATGGAATACAGAAGCAACTCTGTGGTTGGGATTTTCATGCCCAGTAGTGGGAGATGAGAAATCGAACGGGCTTGGGCCATGCATGTTAGGAGTTAGGACTCAGGATTTTTGTCTTGTTTTCTTTTGGTTTGGTTTGGTTTTTGTTTTTTCTGTGTTTCACAAAGTTAGAATATCTGAAGAGAGAATATTGAAGATGAGACTATTTGGAGAAAAGTAATGGAATAATTTTAAGAGTGAAAAGACTAAATGTAAAATAGGACACAACACACTGTATCCTAGAAAAAATAAATCAAACTCAAACTATTCCTGGATGCATCCAGTACACTGCCCAACAGCAAGCACAAAGCTAGAGGTGGAAAATCCTAGACAGAGAATGTAGGCTGCTGCAACTCACAGAGCAGGGCCCTGGGTGGGGACACAGAAGCCAGGAGAGTCCTGGAAATACTAGGGCAAAGTACAAGATCAGAAACCCACATTCAACAAGGAACAGTGAAGAATGAGTAGAGTGTGGAGGTGGCCTCATGATTGTCATGAGAGGCGTGTAAGGATGCAGACGCACACTCCATGGCGTCTGTGTGTGTTCTTTAGAGAAATTCCTGTTCAACCGTTGGGCTCATTTTAAAAATTGGGTTGCTTGTCACTTTACCGTTATAACATTTATTTCTACTTCCTGGATATAAGTCACGCATTTTATGTATAATTTACAATTTTCTCTTCCTTTTCTGTGGGTTGTCTTTTCACTGCATTGATGGATGGTGTCTTTTAAAGCACTTTTTTTTGTTTTGATAAAGTTAAATTTATCTCTTTATGTTGTCTTTTGAAATTCATGGTTTTGATGACATATCTAAGACAAAAGTGCTTAAAACAGGACTAAAGTTTTAATTCTATGCTTCCTTCTAAGAGTTGTATCTTCATAGCCCTGGATTTAGGTCAATGATCCATTTTAAATTCATTTTAGTATGTTGTTTGAGGCAGGGATCCTACTGAATTCTTTGGTCATAGGTGTGCATTTGTTTTGACATTATTCTATGAATACATTGCACTTTTTTACTGAATTGTCTAAACACTTTGCAAATAATCAATTGGCTACAAACACAGAAGTGTGTTTCTGGAGTCTCAATGTTATTCAGCTTGAGAAGTATCTCAATTAACAATTTTAAGCTTTTTAATCCATGAATGTGAGCTGTCTTTCCACTTATTCATTACATGCTATTATAAGTGCAGTTATTTCCTAAATATCATTTGGATTATTCATTGATAGGACATTAAATTCATGTTATATGTGATACCTCACTGGTTTTATGAGCATCCATAGTCTGTGTTTTCCTTGGGGTTTTATATCTACAAGACAAAGTCATCTACACATAGGATCTTGCGCCTCCATTCTTGATGTCTTTCCTTACTTGGTTGCCCAGGCTGTATATTTACAAGATTAAACACACATGTAAAGAACAGGAATCTCCATGTTGATCCTGAGTTTAGGAGAAAACTACTCAGTGCCTCACCCTCACACAGGATGTCTGCTGTTTTCTACAGGTTCTGCTATCGTGCTTAGGGAAGTGCCCCTCTCCCTGGATTCCGGAGAGGTATGTCCCAATAGACTGATGACGGACTACATCAGAAGCTTCCTTCTGCATTGACTGAAATGCTCATTTCCCTTTATTTTTATTTATTTATTTATTTTATTTTTGCAATACTAGGAGTTGAACTCACCACCTCCCCAGCTCATATTTCATATTGTGTTCTTCATCTGAGGAGGGTCTCATTAAGTCACTAAATTGCTCAGGTGAGCTCCGACTTTGTGTCTCTCCTGTATCAGCCTCCCAGAGTAAGGATTTCAGGCCTGCACCACCAGGCCCTGCTTCCTCTATTTGATTAATATGGTATGTGGAATCCATTGATTTTCGTTTGTCAAAGCATTTTGAAATTTCTGTTATAACTCTAACATGAGTCATAGCTTATGCTCAGTGGATTAGCTGCTGGACTCAGTTCGTTATTGTTCTGTGCAGACCCATTTCTGTTTTCACAAGTGATATGGGTATGAGTTATACTACCCCTATGTCTGCCAGACCTTTTTAGCACAGTAAGGCTGACTTTCTAGAATGACTTGAAAAGAGTTTTCCACTTCTAATTTTTGGAAGATTTTTGTAAAAGACTGGTGTTTAATCCTTGTCAGATTCAATCACTGAAGTCATCTAGAATTAGAAGTCATTTCTTTCGTACCACTTTTAAATTCATCACTAATTAAAACTCCTTTATTTGCTTTAAGTCTACTCAAATTTTCTAATTTTTCTCTTTAACTCATTTGTGGCAGTTTAATGTATTTCTAGAACTTTATTAACTACATAGAATTTGTTAGAATACAATTATTCATATTATTTCATTTTAATTCACTTTTTCCGGTAAGGCTAAATAATGATGTTCCTTTTTTCTTTTTAAAATTTTAATTAATTTGAGTTGTGTAAAATTACTATCATTCCTTTTTTACTGATTGATATTAAACATTTGTCAATTGTTGGCCTTTCCAATAACCAACTTTTGTCTTTCTTGACATTTGATACTGTTTTATGTCTCAAATTTATTTCTATTCTAATCTTTATTACTTCTTTCCTTTGCCTGCTTAGATTTTCATTTCTCTAGTTTTTGTTTGTTTGTTTGTTTTGTTTTGTTGTTTGAGACAGGGTCTCACTATGTAGTTGAGACTGAACTGGAATTCACTATGTAGCCCAGGCTGGTCTCGATCTCATAGTGATCCTCCTGCCTCAGCCTCCTGAGTGCTGGTATTACAGGCATGCGCCACCACATTCGGCTTTTTTCTCTAGTTTTTTTAAAATGATATGTAAAATTACTGAATTTTTCAGATGCTAGAGCATGCAGGCAGCTTATAGATGGACATTTTTCTCTAAGAACAGCTTTAGCTACATCATATGAAGGTTGGCCTATTTTCTCTCTCTTTTACTCATCTCAAAATATTGCTCTAAGTTCTATGTGACTTAGTTTTGACTAGTAGTGTTTTAACACTTTTATTTAATTTCTCAAATTCTTTGGTTTTGATTTTAGTTGCCTTTGTGTTTGGTAGAACATACTCTGTGTTATTTCAAATGATGTCACAATGCATTGTGACATGTTTTGGGGCCTAATATCCCATGTGAGCACTGCATACAGTTGAGAAGGTTTATGTTCTGATGTTTTTGGTGGGACATTCTGTAGAAATCTCAGGGCTAATCTGTTACAGAGTTGTCACTTTTCTTTATTGATCTTTGTCTTGTTCCATCTATTATGTCACCAACAGTTATTTTTTCTTGTTTATTTCTTCCTTAATTTCTGTGAGTTTTTTGCTTCATTTATTTTAAGCCCTTGTTTTTTATTTTTGTTTTGCTTTTTCTTTTTGTTTTGGGGATCAGGGATTGAACTCAGGACCTTGCCCTTTAAAGGCAGGCTTTAAGTGGATGTGTTTATAAATAACATGTCTTTCATGAATTGGTCTTGTCATTATAAAACATCTTTATTTTTAAAAGCAATTCTTGTTTTAAAGCCTGTTTTTTCAGATTATCTTATCTCTTGCTCTCTTTTGCTGACTACATGGAATATCTTTTCCTTCCTTTTATGTATGATCTACATGCATGTGAATATAAAACATATATGATGTAGACAGCATGTATTCAAATCATTTTAATCATTTGTCAATCAATTTACTTATATTTAATGTAATTACTGGCAGGTCGGATTTATGACTTTAATTCTCAGCCTGTTCTGATGAAGTCAGCTCTGGTGCTGGTGGCTGGGTGAGGAGCAGCTCCAGGGGACAGAGGGGCAGGTCTAACGGTGACAATTCTCTGGAAGTTCGGGGTGGGAAAGCTCCATCATTCCTTCCTGCTGGGGTGACCCAGCTGTTGGTTTCCATGGCTACCATTATCATAAGAGGGCGAGGCTTCCTTGGAGTTGCAGACAGCTGAGGAGAAAAGTTCAAATCAAAGCTACCTGAAGCTCAGCGTCATCGAGATTCAACTGTGTTCCTTCTTTAGTTCCTGGGAAACTATTTCTGCATTTTGTTACTTCTCAGAGTGCTGTAAAAGTTGATTTGGACAATCTTTGCCTTTTTCCATTGTTTTTACAGAGGAAACAAGTTCTGAGGCCTCTTTTGCTTTCATTCTGTGTCTGGTAACCTAGTCTCAGTAGCGTAAATATGTCCTTTAAATCCAAAGCCATAACCAAAGTTTATTGACTTGAGCGAGGTTTGTAGCAAGAATATTCTAAGCGCCATAGCAATTTTAAATGACTGAAAAACATTGAAATCAAACAGCACAAGTTAAAAAAGAAGAGTAAATCCAAAGGCAATAGAAGAATGCAAATGAGAGGATATAAGAAGAAATTAAAGAAACAGGAAAAAAACTACAATAATGAAAATAGTGGTTTGCAAATGTCAACAAACTTAAACTCATTTTAGCTTTAAAATATGAAAATTGCTCAGCTCACTCTATTAGGGCTACTTAATGTTATGGTCTTAAGGTGCATCCATTTTCCTACAAATGACTCAAATTTATTCTTTTTTATAAGACAGTATTCTTATATATGGTGAGAGACAAAAGGAGAGAAAAAGAGCTCTGTGTAGAGAACTTGCTCAGAAAACTGTAAAAGTTAGCAACTCACACAGAAGTTCCAGTGCTGCAGTATAAAATCAGAACTTCCTTTGCCCTTAAGAAGTCAAATAATAATAATGGAATAATAATGGAATGAGACCCACACACATTATGAAGGGAAATTTCCTTTACTTGCAATAAATAGATTTTATGTGTTTATCCTATCTAGAAGTTACCTTTTTCCATTTTCTAACAGATACAATTTATTAAGAAATAAATATACATTGCAATTATATATCAAATAGTTAACACATATGATATTGTCACAATAAGCAAAACAACAGGACATAATAGAAAATGCAGAAATACACTCTACTGGAGGTAAGAATTTGTTTATTTATTTATTTAAGACCTTTACAGCAACATGTGCATTGCATTTGGCCAAACAACTGGTACACATGGTCTCCAAATTTCTCAATTGATGAATGAGATTAGCTCAATGCCAGGAGGCAGAGTTGGGATGGGATTCAAGGCTGCCTCATCCACTGGGTTTGAGCCCTTTTCTCTGCAGTTTTCTCTGCTTCCTCCTCTGTATGTCAGCATTCCCTTTGGATTTGTAGTTAGATGTCACAGCATCCCCAGACTTCACATTAATGCAGGACAAATCCTAGAAGAAAGTGCCTTCTCACAACTCACTTAGAAAAGTAAGGTTGCTCTCCAATCCCTTTGCACAACAAACTGGGTTCCCACTAGCCAAGGGTGCTCACAACCCATGGAGAACGAGTCACTGTGGAGGAGACATAGCCACCTCTTGGTGACCAGGTCAGTTCCTGGGAGGAGGCCCCAGTCAGCTTCCCTCGGTCCCAGGTGTGGAAATGGATCCATAACAGAGCAAACCCCAGCTCTAGGGGGCAAATTAGTATGTAATGTCCATTCAGCAAACCACAAGCTGCTCCAAAAATAAAAGCAAGCACCACAGAAGCAGCACAAAATTCCAAATCCACCCAAAGGACAAACTGCAGACAGGAAGAATGGATGAGAAGGAAGTGTAGTCAGACACTGAGAGAAATCAGAGTGGACACGACTGTCACAGTTATTTTAAATGTTAAAGAATCCTACAAACAATGTCAATATTTTACTCTGAATTTAGATAAAAGTGATTTGGAAAAAACTTATGAACATGGATTTTGAAAACAATAAAAGGTCTGATTAGAACAGCAAAATGAAGACATTAAACTGTTAGTCACTTACTTTCCTTAACCAGAAAAATCAGTTCTAAATATTTTATAAGCAAGTTGCACTAATTCTCAGGGAAGAAGTAATTCTTTCAAAATGATCTAAATAATATGAAAAATTTTGAAAATTCTATTTATCTACATGGTTATAATATTATGTTGACAAGAATATAATGTAAGCGAATCCAAAGAGTAGAAAATTATAGTCTAATCTAATTTCTGAAAATAGATGAAAATCCTAAATAAAAAGAAATTAAAACTTGTAAAAATAAGTACTAGAGAAATTTTTGTTGTATGTTTTTAAAAATATTTTAATAGAATCAATTTATTAATGTTAAAAAATTTAATAGAGTTATGTGAAAAGAGAACACAATCAGAAAGAAACAAAGAAATAATGAAAATAAAATAAGCAAACATTAATAATGGGAAATTCTATGTATTTAACAATAAAATGCCACAAGTGACCAAAACCAACTTTAAAATAAAAAGTAGTTTGTAAAAAGTTGGAGCAATTTCATTTTTAAAATTCAATTTGTGAAGATTCCACCTCGGCTCAGGTGGAAAGCAGTCACAGCCTTTACAACCCCAGGGCCGAGTGCTGCAGAGAACCGGGGTTGACACTAAAGCAAAATCTGAAAATAGTAGCTTCTTAAAACACAAAGAGGAGAGAGACCTGAGCACCGCACCAGGCTTCTTCTGAATACAGAGGACATGGCAGGGCCAGGAAGGGAAATCACTAAGGCCAGCCCTCAGGGCTGGAGACCTCAGCTGAACTCCGCAGAATACTGATAGCAGGCATCGGAATGGCAGCACACTGGACATACTAAGGGCTCGGGTATCAAGGCCAGCAAAGACCGTCCACGGGGCTAATTTGGTTTACTCATGTATCGCATCCTTGCACTGTTTATGAGGAATCCATTGGACCCATCTCATAGATAGGGAAACGCAGGGCACAAAGTGTGGAGGCCTCCACTGGTAGGTGGTGAGCCTGAGTCATCCAGTCCCCCTGCGGGGTGGGAAAAGGAGGAGGAGGGAAGGCGAGAAGAGGAAGAGAAGGAGCGACTGCACAATCATACGTGGTGTGTGTATGGTCAGCTGACTTGGTGCCCTTGGGCGACTGTGCAGGGAGACGCCCTGGGGAAGGGCGGCCTCAGGCTGAGCCCTGCTCTCTGTCCACCACCCCTTTGCCAGGAGCCTCTCTGGGAGAGCTCCCTGTTCTGTGATTCACTCCAGTGGGGTGGACTGAAGAGGAGCCCACGTGTGAGCCGACCAAGCGTTCCCAGTGAAGGCCTCATTCTAACACAAGATACAGAGCCCAGCTCAGAACTCAAGACAGCCTCACCGTGCCCCTGCTTTTTATATTGAGGTTTAGGTAGCTCCATTTTACAGGCTGAGTCCCATTTCTGCCTGATGACAGCCAGGCACTGAAGGCGACAGAACGGCAGGGGAGGGCATCTTCCTTCCTTGTCTAGAGAGTGTCCCCTGTCCAGGGCGTGGATGCTGGGGTCTCCGAGGAACGCCCGGGTAGTCCCGGTGAACTCGGCTCCTCCTGGTCTCTCCAGGCTGCCGCCTCCCCTGTGTCCTCAGCTGATCCCCGCGTGGACACTGAGGCCGTGGGCGTGTCCTCTTCCGACTCCCTCGGCCGCTTACTGGAGTCACGGCCGCGAGTGGACATCGCCCTTTCTTCCACCAGCGTCCACACTCCCGCCTCACCCAGGGCCCGGTCCTCCTCAGGGAGGCTGCTCTCAGCCACGGCCTGAGGGGGACAGCACAGCCTCCTCTCCGCTGTCACAAGGACACCCTGAGCCCTGGACAGTGACACTGAGACCGACATCCCCACACCTGGCGCCTGGTGCCTCTGGAAACAAGTACTCTCTGGCTCTCCACGCAGTCTTCTTGTTACAGGAAAACAAACTTGGCTATTTGTTATTCCTTCAAGGGCATAAACATTTTAAAGCATAGAAACTATTTTCTACTTTCAAATTTGTGATAAACATTAATCTGTTTTAATCCCTAACCAAAGCCCCAAACAAAACAAATCCCCAGACACTGGTGCAAACCAAACAGAAACTTGATGTCATTAAATTAAAAAGACAAATAGTTTGTATATGGAAAAATGTAAGTAGCAACATTAATCCCTTCAGAGAAAATTCCAAGCAAAAATAATTAAAATAAATCAAGTGGGACATTTCACATAATTATAGGCATGAAGCTTAAAAGCAATAATTGGGCTTCAACAGAGAGAAAAGAAAAAACGATCTAATAACAGTAAGAAACACCAACTGTACATTTAAAATGAGAAACTGATGCAAGTGCGTTGTTCAGAAATTAATATAGAATGAAATGACTGCAATGCGCAATACTAGAGGATTAGAGACCCAGGTTTGAGAAATTTATGAAAATGGAACTTGGAACAATTACCACTTAGCCATAAATTTTGTTAGACAGTCAAATCAGATATCAACTTTATTACATGCAGCACACTCTTATCTTTTAGCCAATATTTTAATGCATATTTGAAGATTGAAATTGAAATAAAATTTAATAATAAACTATCTACAAAAGTTCCACAATGATGCATAGTTTCTTCATTACAATGTAAAAGTCTTAACAAGAAGTATATTAGAGAAAAAAAGATTTTATTTCAAAGCTAGAGGATAAATTGAGTAGGTAGGTGCACATCTCTATTTATCATGAGTAAGCCTGGTTTCAAAAAAGGGGAAAAGACCATGCATCATTTTGTACAGCAATTGCCTGGGAGGCTGCAGGCAGGTCTCAATGGTAGTGTTTATGCTTAGCATGTGTGAGGCCCTGGGTTTCAGCAGCAGCACTGAAAAAAAGGAAAGGAAAGAAAAGGGAGGGGAGGGGAGGGGAGGGCAAATCCAAAATTTAAATTAGACATTAAAATAAAAATTATCTTGATATCAAATAAAAGTAACCCATTCACAAAAGCAGAGGTGAATAACTTTCATGGGATAACTAATCCAGGAAAATTACACTGAAATAGGAAACAAGAATACTCCCACAGACCCAGACCTTGTCAAAGTGATAATGTCAAAATGTACTCTTTAGCACGGGATGGCGTAGGAGAGAAACCAAACCTCACAAGACAAGAAATGCATCTGTACTGTGGGGCCTGCCACACTGGTACATCTGTGCAATGTAAGAGGCACTGCATCCGGATGATAACTTTTTATAGGTGACAGAGAGGCTGAACGTGACCCAGAGGTGCACCTCCCTGGATGGCTTCAGAGTGCCCCTGAAGAGCAGCGGGAGCCCCAATATGAATAAGGGCATGTAATACTCAGTTTTCAAGCCATAGATGTTTTCGCTTAACTTTAATAACTATATAATATGTGGAGTGATGACAATGTAAGTTGGAGTCATTAATAAGACAGAGATCCCTGCATCAGTCTGATGGCAGCTTACTAATGATAGTTGTACATGTCTTGCAGGAACTCTCACAATGAATTTGTTGGTTCTGCTTTAAGGACCCTGAAATCTTCCTCAACCAGATGTGCAGCTGGCAGACGTCACACTAAGTTATGAGTTTTTCTGCATCAAATTTTGAAGGAAGGGTAACTCGATTCATTTATTTTGAAGAATATGCATGTTTAGAATTAGTATCTTTTGGATCAAGTGTGTTAGACCTCAGGTCTTTGTGGTACATAATTTTGATCATTTAACTTTCAACCAGATTCTTACATCTTAAGCACCTCTCTCTTTTTTTGTTTGTTTGTTTTTTGTTTTTTTGGTACCGGGGATTGAATTCAGTTCCTTGCGCTTGCAAGGCAGGCCACGGAACCGCTGAGCATTAAGCACCTCTCTTTAAGCACCATTAAGCACCTCTCTTTAACATTAAGCACCTCTCTTTAACAGCATTACCCGAGGCTTCCTTTTATCCCTGTTGACCCAGACTGAACCTCTGTCCTTTAGTTGCTGTGTTGTGTCCAAAGGCAATTGCTGTGACTACACTGATTCTGCTGAGCTCCCCTGTCTCGCCCCAACTTTCACTTTCTCCTCCTTCCTGTAGTTCTGGTTCATCGATGCTTTTTTCTTTGAGCATGTGCTTTTAGTATGTTTGTTTGTTTGTTTACTAGACAAATTTTTTAAATGTTCTAGGGACTGCTGTAATCTCCTTAAATTACCACAATATACTTTGAAATATTATTATATTACTCTGCGTCTGATGAGAAAGACTCATCATGTTATAATTCTATTTCTCTCCTATATTAATAAACTTATAGTGTTTACTACCAAGTATGTAGAAATCTCATAATAGATATATATATATATATAAATTTTCTTAAAATGCCATTTGTCACCTTTCATAGGATAACACTTACATAAAAAGAGACATGCAAATATAGGTGATTTCATTCTTACCAAAATGATAATCTAAAGAGACATAACAGAATCTGTATAATACATTGATAATGTAGATCAGGGGAAACATGATACCACTATGTAAAAAATGAAGAATAGATACAAGTGAAATAGGCACCCAGCCAAAGCCAAACAAAGGAACAAAAACCAAACTAAAAGAAGGCACAAGAAGGGAAAACATGTATGAGCATAACCATCAGTAACATAGAATTAAAAACTAGGAGATGTAATATATGAGAAACTGTGTTTTTGAGAAACATCACAGAATATGCTCCCATCTGGGACAGACCAGCACCTCTGCCTGCCCAGGTGCTGGTGAATGCTGTGGTCCCCTGTGCATGCATGCAGGACTTGGAGCCCCCTCCAAAGTTAGCCAAACAAATGTTTTCTATTTTTGTTTTTGCTTTCCTCATTGAGTTGTTTTTATATCCACAGCTCTTCAATTGTCTCACTGAAGAAAACATCAATAGCCTCACAAAAAATACATTTTTATTTTATCTGTTACATTTTTTCTGCTTTTTGTTAAAAGTGAAGATAACATTCTTCTATATTCTAACTAGAAGTAGAAATTCTACCTTTGCATTTAATTAATGGAGTAAAATTATTATTTCTATCATGAAATAGTTGACACTATACCTTCAACAGGTTCCTTTAGAACTGACACACATCTGTGTGATCTAGATGTTAGAATTCTTCCTTACGTTGAAATTTATGAGGTGACCTGTCATTCAAATGATCAATATTAATTGATGGCACCACTAGAATTGATATTCATGATTTTCCAAATATTTCAATCAGATTTTGAATAAATAAAAGTTAGTAATAGTGAAATAAATTTATGAAATTGTGAGATCTCTAAAAATGCTACTCAGCCACATCATAGAATAATCATAGCTTAGCGTTTCTGTTATAGAAGCAATGCTACTGGGAAAGTGTTACCTATGAAAACTATTTCAGTCTGGTACCTCTGTGCTGTCTGCCCTTGGCTGTGTTAGTGACATCCACTGTGACACCTTCCTTAAGGAACTTGCACATGCCATCAGTGGGCACTCAACTTGCCACTGGGATTGTAATGAAAATCTGTAGATTGTAGTCCATTACATGACCTATTTTGGAAAGGTTTTGGCTTCTCACTGATTCTTCTTATGAAAGTATTATTGCTCAGCAGGCCAGGAGATAAGGTTAGATTTGGCTTTTTTTCATTGTATTAATAGCTCCTTTCACTTTCAGTAAGATTAGTTTCTCTCCAATATGCCATGACTGATAAGAATTAGTATATATGCTATTTTTACATAAGATTGATGTTTTTATCATTCAGAGTAGAAGGGTTTTTAAAAATTCAAGGGCAGCATCCCATGGTCCTACTCTGCATGTCTGATTGAGAGGTTCACTTCCCATGTTAATCAAGGCTACGTGTACATCTACATCTGCTATGTGTATAACTAACAACTTTCTTGCTTCACTAAAAAATGACTTAGAAGAGCAGGAACTGCACAAATATCTTACATAAATTATCCAACTGAATATCAATTGTTAGCTTTTATTATATGAAAGAATTTTTAGAGATACATTCACACACATATGTAGAATAGTTACAAATATCACAAAAAAAGTAACAACCAACAGACACATTGTTCAGACTCAGTTACTACTCGTCACTGACACAATTTTCCAGAAAAATAAAATCTTACAAATGTCCCAAGCAAAACTATATTTCCACTATAACTTAAAAAACTGATTGTCTGGTAAATGTAGTGCATATTAAACACTTTAAAATATACTTTATCTGAGGGTAGTCCTGTACCAGGTACTCATGGAAACGTTTCCACCTAAGTGAATACCCAGCAGTTCGTTTTATTGTCATGTAGGCCACATAATTCTCCGGGAGCAGACTTTCTCTGGCACCATGGGCGCATTATCAGCCAGCTTTGTGTCATTGTAATGAAACATCTGAGTCAGTCAACTCCTGAAGCAAAAAGACTTGTTTGGGCTCATGGTTACAGAGCTTCCAGCTCAAATTCAGGCCTCTAGCAAGGGCAGCACACCGTGGGCGGAGCTTGTGGAGGGGCAGTCACTGTCCCCCTGAACCAGGAAGCAGAAGGAAAAGGAAGAGAGCAGACCCCTACATCTCTTCATGGACACACATGCAGTCGTCTGAGGACCCTGTACCTCCCAGCGGCACTCCCTCGGAGACCACGCCTGTTACACGTGAGCATCTGGAGGACACTGGCCATCCAAAGTGTAGCCCTGGAGTGAGTGCCCTCATGCATGCCCTCCAAGGGCACGGTCACCTTCCTGGCCCTGGGTAGTTACTGGGAAGTGTACATTCCTACATTTTACTTCGGGGACAATATGGCCACTTGTAGAGTCACTGACCTAAATTTATACATTCACAAAACATAATCACAAGAGTCTAAATTTTCAAAGTAAAAATCTAAATTATTTTAAAGAAATTGTTAACTAAGGGACATGATGTTAGGTTTAGCCTGATACTAATCTATTATTGAGGAAAACCAATTCTTTATTCCAGCTGTGTTTCTATCACAGATGGATAGGTGGGCAATCTGGGTAAAATATAATATTAAAAATATGTATTTGAGCTCAAAAATAAAGGTCGTTGTCAGATCCTAGCAAGGAACATAGAACCTCAATCCAGAAGAATAATCTAGAGCTTCAGCTACAGCTTGCAGCTGGGTCAGGTCGGGTTGTAATTTTACCAAACTCATATATAACAAAGCACTGACTCTCAGGACCTCACGATATGAACCTACTTGAAAACAAGAGCATCGCTTGTGTAAATAGTCTAAGAAGAGTGAGACTGGAGTGCTGTGGCCCTCTGAGCCAAGGTGACTGGATTCCTTGCAACATGAGAAATTTGGGGAGAAGGAGACCTACACGGAGACCATTGTTCAACAATGGAGTTGTGCTGCTTGTGACATATTAGATCCGAAATGTCACCCCAGGGTCCCATGTGTTCAGAGGTGGGGCTTTTGGAAGGTCTTGGGTCATGGGTTCTACTTTGACGGGGACTCATCAGTGGATTACTCAGCTCCTAGCTGAGCATGCAGTGCTGTTAGGAGGGGCTGAGGTGATGGAGGTGGCCACGGGGGTTGGGTGGCCTGTGGAGGGTGCATCCATCTCTGCTTTCTGGCTGCCATGGGTTGGGCAACATGCAGTCAACAACAGGAAGGCATTTCATAGTTTCTAAACCAGCACCTGCATTGTACAAATGAATTTCTGTATGTCCCAGAGATGGGCAAAACCATAGTACAGTCCTGAGGGATTCGCACAATAATGATGGTAAAAGTGTAAGTTAAAACAAAGAAACGTCCACCACAAAACTTGTGGCAAGGGCACCCATGAGGGAAGTTAGAAGGACAGTGGCTAGGAAGGGCAGGACAGGTGGCTTTCAACAACTGTCACAGGGCTGGCATTTGACATAAGTGCAGATTTTACCACTGTTCCACTTACAAGCAAGGGTACCACATGTTCGTATTCAGCTTTTCAGTGCAAACCATGCTTCAAAAGTAAGAGATTAAAACATAAAAACAAAAGCACAAAGACTGCACAGAGATCCCTGGGCAAGGATGACTTCCTTATGGGTTTTCTTGTTCTGAGTTCCAGACATTAAATTCCAAAGCAGCCCTATGCTTTCTCTCCCATTAAGCTGCAGATTTTGCTAGTGTTTGTTGAGTGGGTGGAGCAGGACAGGCACTCTGCTCTGGTTCTGGGACAGCACAGATTGCTGTGAATGAATACACAACATCCCTAGGCGGGCTCCTAGCTAATCCAGCAAGCTTTAGATATTCAGCAAGCACAATTCCTGACCAAAAGAACTGAATCGAGAACTGGAACTAAACTTAGCCGAGGAAGAAGATTTGATTTGACTTTTGAGAAGCAGTATTTTTTAGCCCTTTGAAAGAGCTCCCAAAAGCCAGGAATCTGAAGCCTGCAAAAGTTACCACCTGAGAATCTAGCTTCAGGAAAAAAGTACTTGTCACCACTGAAGAGAAAATAAATTGGGCCTTTGCCAAAACATAGCCACAAAGCAAGGCCAACCTAAGCCTGCCCTACCTCGGGGTTTCACAGTTTTATGAATGACTGAGTTTTTTGTTGTTGTTGTTGTTGTTTAAAACTGTTGATAGTGTCATTTTTAAGGATTACTTGTAAGATGCAAAAACCTCAGCTGACAAATAGAAAGCACAAGGTTTTGTGTAACTATCATCTGATGTGATATAAAAAAAATAGAAAATTATATTGCGTTTAATATGCATCTATTGGAAAAAAACACTGCTCTAGGGTTCAAAGTTACTTTAGACCTAGCTGTGAACAGAATTGAAATGTGACCTTGGTAAGGGCACAACCCTTTTGGCTTCAGTTTTTCATCTAGGAAATTAGATCAGAAAGCTTTTTAACTGGGTTTTCAGATTGTATGTAGTGCTACAGTTCAACAGTTAAAATGTAAACATCATTGTTTCAGCTTCATAGCTGAAAATGTTAGATTTTAGCTCCAGCTGTAAAATGTGGATAATGTTAGTATCTAGGTCATGGGGGTTTATGAAAAATTAAAGGAGATATTTTATGCAAAGCATGTAATAAAGTGCTAAGCAGTTACTGCGTCCAATGAAAATTACTATTATTATTAATAGAAACATTGTCTTGCATTTATAGGATGAAGGAATTTGGCCTATATGTATTCAAAGGCTTCCTTCACCTGAAATTTTGTAATCAGCAATTTATGAAACCAGTCATTTGGAAAGACAAAGAAATTCAAGGGAAAACTCAGAGCTCTATGTGAATTTGTCAGACACATGTATTTATATTTATCAGAGCAATAAATTCAGAAAAAAATACCTTCCTCCTTTCAGCAGTCTCCTTTGCCCGAATGATGTGGAATTATCATTTCTATCAATCAAATGTGGTCAGATTCCTAACTAACCCACTGGAGTTCAGAGGGAGTTCGTCAATGTGGAACTGCTGGGGAGACCCAGACCTCACCCAGAGCCGGCTCCATTCAGCAGTCAGTCAGTCCAGCCATGCGCCTCCCTCCTCCGAGACTCCAACCACTGGGCCTTGCTCCTAATTCTCGCCAGCAGGAAACCATTGTGACGTCATTACTGTTCAGGGTGCTGCAGAAGCCACCATTTCCCCCCCTATAATTTTCATAGTAATTAGAATATAATTCTTAGTTTTGTTTTGCTGTTACAAGAAGTCATGAAATTTTTGGTGAGAATGTTTACTAAGGATAAAGACTTTATTTAAGTAAGAGAAAAAATAAGGTAAGTGGAGCCTTCTTTCTTGAACTACTGAATAACCTTTTCTAATATGCTTCATAATTTTGTTCTGGACCTGATATTTTTGTCCATTTCTTCTGGGATAATATATTCAAGGCCCTAGTTTTCAGGTTACCAGTTAAGTTATAAATTTAATGAAGTGAGGATAGGTTTTGATTTCTATATAATATTTTTTTAAACGTCATGTGGCATTGAAGAGAGATTATGTTTTTCTGAATAATCACAGGTAAGTAGAAGGCTATAACATAAGTCCAAAGTTCAAATATAATCTAAAATTTCAGCCATAATAGTCCATAAAATTTATTTCAGTGCTTATGAATTTCCCTATGGCATTTAATGCTATATTCAGTGTTGCTTTGACTTTAAAATGTAGGAAAACAAAAATCTAAAAAATAAATGTAATGACAGGAAATTTAAAAACTAGTCCTTGAAAAAAATAAACTTCACAGTGCCTATGAATGCTAAAAATATACGACTATTAGAAAACAAGAGGCTGTGGTCAGAAATCTATCCTAATCTGTTCATAAGCATGGAAAAGCTGGGAATTTCACCATTCTCCTAGCATCGTGGTTATGCATCCAAGTCATCATGAACCTTTACACACCTACAAAGCACCAAGAATCAACAGACAGAAATTGTTTAAAGGAAGGACCGGAACCTTCATGTTTCAGGCACTCTGTGTAGCATCACTTACACACAAGCACACGGGAAGGAAGTACTTCCGTGAATTTAAGGTACAGAACACAAAAAATTTAATGACTGAAGGCCCATAAGGTAGGACCATTTCTTTGTAGGAAAAGAAAGGACTCCTGAGAAATAGAACAAGCCAATCCCATAGGGTGAGTTTCTCCAAGCATTCTATTATTTAAGAACCCTTCTTGCAATATTATTCATTGGAGTGATTTTTCTATTTCTGTGTGCAGCTCAGACTTTCTTTCACAGGCAGTAATGTATTACAGAGGTTGGTGAGAAAGTAGCTTCTACATTCCTCTCCACCCTGATGCTCATATCACTTACCAGTCTAAACTGAAGCTTAGCAATTCACTGATGAATTTAACACAAAGAACATTTTGTTGGTAAATAATGCTCATGCCAAGGAAATGAAGGGAGTTCTGGATATTGAAAATTAGTAATGTGCTCTGTAACAGCACTTTTAATTTTTAACATTGATTTCATCTGTTCCATGCAGAAGGTTTGGATGTGGATGCAGGTGCCTTGCTTAACTCTTTTATTGCACATAAATGTCTTTGTTGTTTCCTTTAGATTTTAGCCTCTGTGGTCATGTTTGGAATATCATCCATAAACACACTGCCTCTTGGTACTTTATTTCACCTGAAACATCCCATCTTCCTGGATGTATTTTAATTAATGGTACAAGGTCAATACTTACTTTTAAAAGCAACTATTAATCCATGACACAGAACCATCTTTACAATTACTATACCATTTCTCCACTGATGTATAATCAACTTTTCTAAAGTCTCAATCCATTCCTGGGTGTCAAGATTATCTTCGGAGCTATGGTTACCAAGTACAGAGCTATGTTTGGGGAACCTATGAACAAGCAGACAGTTCTCTGGTGGACTTCATGTCACTTGGATAGCACATCCAGAATAGTGCAGAGAACAAGTTAAAAGGGCACCTGACCTAGACGGGTGCTAAGACCCTCCAAGCTGGAAGAATTCAATGCAGATATAACTGGTTCAAAGGTAAGAAGTTTACTGAACACTGGAGAGCTGCTAATGGATGACAAAAGGTTTCTGATGATGTGGACACAGTCTGGTGACTGGGTTTTATTTGAAGGAGACACAATTCTTGTGTAAAGAAAGCAGAGGGAAGATGTGCAGAGGGACACGGATTTCCAAATACACTAGCCGAAAATCCCTATCTGGACGCTGAAACTGTCTCCTTTGAAGAGGGGAGCAGGCTGCTGCCACAAGCTGGAGAGAGCGGACCGTGAGAAGCAGGTGCAGGAGTCTGAAGAAGGCAGTGACACGGTGCAAAGTCAGACCTTGAGTAGCGTGTTGGGCCCCGTGGAGCTGCTGATCACAAATTCGTGGAAGTACTTGTCCCTTTCAGTGATGTTTTCTAGGATAGTGTCGAATGCCTCCATATAGTGCAAAACATCAGGCTAAACTAACAAAATGATACCAGCCTGAGTTTTTGGGGCTGGAGGTCAAGCCGCTGGTCTTGGACATGCTAACAGGCACTCTAGCACTGAGGTACACCCCAACTTTGGGACAGGCTTTCACTAACTTACTGAGGCTGTACACTCGATGCTTCTGCTCTTAACGTGTGTGTCACCCATGACTTTGTTTCACTTACATTTAAAATCCCTGAAAGAATAACTTCACCAGAGCTACTAGCCTGACTAACAGTCTACTAAGTCATGGAATTTGCCGGGTGCCATCTGAGGACAGTGCCTTGACTTTGTGCCCAGCAGCACAATAATTTTCCCCTTGGAAGTCCCCCTTCCACAAACACGCACTTGAATCAGGTATTCGTTTAAATAAGCAGTTATGTAATATTTAGGGAAGGATGGAGGGGCTGAAGGGAGGGCTGGGGAATGGGGAAAAATAAGAACCAAGATACAGCGTGTAAAGGCAGAAGATTCCAGTGATGAGTGTAACTGTACTGTACACCTAAAATGTACCAATAAACAATAAAGATAAAAAATAAAGTGCTTTACAATTATCAACTCATTTGATACCAGAGATATCTAATAAATTATTTCTACTGGAAAACATTTCTTGGAGAAACATTTCTTCATCTGCAGAAACACCTTACAAGCTTTCGCCCTGCTTCGCACTGGGCAGTTCTCCACCCAGCTGCATGAACAAAGTCTTGGACAGACCTGAGCAGGACACTTCCCTGTCCCTCAAGCTCTCTGGATAGCACCAGCTGTTCTCAGCCCTGACAGGAGCTGCACTGTTCCGAGCAGCTTACGAGAGCGGCCTCACCTTCATGCTGGACTGAGAAAGGCAGCCTGGGCACGGTGGATTGCCCCCCTTTCCAATTGCTGTCCCCCTGAACCTCATGCCTAATCATCTCTTCAGGCTGGTGGTCCTCTCACTTCACCTCATTTCCCATTCACCCTCCCTCATTTCCCTACCTGCAAACCAATGGCTCTTGCCTGGCTGCAAATCACAACTTCTGAGGAATTTTAAAAGTAACTCTCAATATCGTGATGCTCCCAAGACCCATCCTGAAGTGAGACCCGAGCAACCTGCCCAGGTGAGTCCTGGCAGCACAGGTGAGCAGAGGCTCTGAGCCTTGGGAGGTGCTGGCCCCTGACCCCCTGTCCACTTCCCCCTCTATCCCACTGGCTGCCCCACTTCAGCCTCGTTCTGTCCCACACCCCAGGCACCCCACCCCAGCACCGCTGCCTCCCCCGCTTGGCTCTACCAGCACACCCCTCCTTTCCTTCAGCTCTCTTCACAGACCTGACCCTGCAGAAGACTTCGGGGCCACATGTCCTCTTCCTGTGCTGCGCCCCACTGCTCTCTGGTGTCTGCCTTTCTGCTGCTCCTAGCCCATCTCCACTGGCTGGCTCTGCCAGGACAGTGGCCCATTCTCCTCTGCAGTGCACGTTCTGCTCTTCTCTTTAATCCTGAAACACAGCAGAATCCACCAGAAAGCAGTGGGTGAAACAGAAAGTTTTACATAGTAAATACTTGAATTTCTCTTCCTTTACAAGCATTTAGTTTTTCTTCTCTTTATATTGTATAAACTCATTTTTTTCCGTTTTTCTTCCTTTTGTTTGATAACATCATAGAATTAGTTTGTATTCAGCAGCCCTGCTTCTTTTCCATTAATTTTATTCCTTAATATTCTTACCAATTTTTTCATTATCAGCAAATGCTTTTAATAACAGGATCCAAGATGGATTTTAAGAAAGAGCCAGTGAGAACCTTCACCCCTCTTTCTCTCCCATTATCCATCTTCTGAATTTTTAACAATACATTAGTCATTTCATATTGTGAACAACTGTAGTGAATACATTCTGGTATTCATTACTACTTACTTCTGTATTTCTCTCACTAGTATTTTGAACTCAAAGAACCTAAATCTAAGATATATGACTACGCCAACATTTTTCACAGGATGGCCAAGTAGTAAGATTGCAGACATCATCGTAGACGGCCTTTCTGCTGAACCACGGGTTGTGATGTTTATTCCAGGCCTCAGGCTAATTAACTATTTTCATCATCACCACAGGCACGCATTTGTCCCAGGCACATTCAGTTGTCTTTCTTCTCCCTTTCTCCCTTAATCCTGGTGGGCAGTGACTCCTAACCTCTGCTCCCTCCGTGCTTCAGCACGCCGGCCGTCATGGGGTCAGCAGCTGCACAGCCTCATGAGCTCATCCAGACCCTACAGGACTTATGTGTGTGCGTGTGTATGTAGCAGAGAAGTGAGGACTCACATAGAAACCCACCCAACCATTTGAAAAGTGAACTTCTAAATTGTAGGCTTAACAACAATAACACAAGACATATCCATACAAATGGAAACTGCCCAGTGTTCTCAATGATGGAGTAAAGCTCCACTCTACTTGTGAAATGGAAGTCCACAGTACATGGTTAAAAAGCAGTGGATGAATATGGGCATAGTGGATACTAATGCCACTACTCAAGGAGTCCTGTTTATGGGTACCTCTTACAGCATAATTGAAGTCTGCACACTATTGCTTCCATTTGTTTGTAGCGGCTTGGAAGTAACATCACTTTCTCCCATTACATCTAGCAATGCTTAGAT